CTCAGGGAAGTCTGATATCACCGCCAGAGGTCGAATAGGTGGACGGGCATGCCAATATGCGCGGAAGAACAGAACACAGTCGATAAGCCAGAAAGGGGCGTTCCGGTCTCCCTTGTCTTTGCCTGTAATGTTATTTCAACACCAGAACAGGCACAGGGTAACCGGAAATGTTCATTATGGGCATTAATACCTTCGTCGGTCAAGCCGGTGTTGCTTTTGCGGGTTCATTTCGGTCAAAGGCGTGCCGCTTACGCCCCATTCCTCCCTCCAGGCTACAAAAGCGACAGCTCGGTCCTCACATGCGTGAGACTACCATAAAGACCGTATTTAGAGTGTCATAGCAGCCGGACTCTCAGAAATGAAAGGATCTGTTTGTACCATCGATTGTTAACGTTTGAAGCCAAGAATCCTAGAGATAAGTTGAATGACATTGAGTTTTTACGAGTGATGCTACTCGCCAGCGTTAGTTAATCAGAAATTACTCGCGGGGTCCTAAGTGCTTACGCACATCTACGCAGAACCGTCCATTGAAGATACAGTGAATAGAATATATTAAACAAGACGAAGATCATGAGATTAGCAGAATTTATTGACGTCAGATAATTCTGCGACCTTTTATTCAACTGCAAACGGTCAATGCCTATTAATAAGATTAATTAACTGTCCAATTAAGTGTCCACCCAGAAGGGTGAAACTTGATAGGTTAATAGAGTAGAAGCGATTAGTCTTAGATGTGGGCGCGTGATGAGGGGGCAGAGGAGAGGTCTAGTTGTCGCAGCATGGCAGTTCATGCTTGTTCGTGTTCATAAAAGCCTGTGAGACACGGTTAAAGGGGTGGGGGGCAGAGGACGGGGCAGCAGTCAGTTCTAAGGGTAGCGAGGAGGCGTGAGAGGGAATGACTTTATCGATCGTTATCAAAGCAATGCGAGGTTGATCACAGGAGTTAAGGAATACGTTGGTTGGGGGTTAGTTTTGCTAATAGTCGTTAAAGGCATGATCGTTACTTTTGCCCGTGAAATCTCGTTCATATACGTATCCTGCAATGCTTTATAGAGGACACCATGCTTGCGTTTTTCTTTCAGATAACATTTCCCCATCGAATTGAGGCTACCTTTAGTGTGACCGGCCTCACATTTTCCGGGGATCCCGATTTGGTGTTGGAACTGGACTTAAATGCCACTTCCGTCTTGCCCACAGTCAAGATCGACTTGCGTCAAAGGGTCGGACAGTATATACAGCTCAGGTTCTTCTTCGCAGCCCAATGGATCGTACTAAGCGAGCTTCGGTTTGTTAGTAGTAAGTTCACTTTTTGTGTAGATAATGTGCTTGTTAGCCTCTTCCCCCGTCACTTGACGATCCCAAGTGTTGGTTTGCATCGTAAATTTGTATAGATTACGAACCCAGGGTCCTCTATTACCTTTCCTTCGTTACGTTGAATTTTGAATTGTCCTCCGGGGTAGTCTTCAAAACAGTTAAGTGCAGGTTGTTTAGAATGACGAGTTACTATGTAAATTGTTACTTTTTGTTATCGCAACACGCCTGTTTATCCGACTTGGGTAGGCATAGCGTATTAGGCTGACTTTTCTGGCCAAACCCAATAAAATGCCTAAGGATTAGTTTAAGGTTAGGGTTAGGTTAAAATATAGGGTTAGGCAGAGTGGTAGAGTTGGGGTTACGGCAAAGGTTAGTATTAAGGCTACGTTTGTCTGCCGCAGGCCGTACTACCCACTCCAACCTTAAACCGATGACCTTGAATTTCTTGTTTCCCGCCCGGTTACAGGCCCCTAATTTGCACATTTCACATTGCGCGTCTGTTCTAACAGCTCATTGGGGTAATCAGACAAAATTATGGCAGAAAAGCGGGTATTCTATATAACTTTCGCAGTCTCGTTTAATTGCCTCGCTCATCTGCCCCAATGATAAATTTACTATTAACAGTCTTCCTGATTTAAAGGAGTTCCTGTGCTCTGTTTTCTCAGTTGAATTTCATTTAAGCTACTTGTTTATCTCAGTTCTTGGCAGAATAGTGCTCTCTGAATCCCATTGGGGTAGACATTGTCCTCCACAATCTCCCTAGCAGTGGGAAGTGTTTTGTGTGAACTAAATCCACTAGGCAGGGTCAACGATATTGTCATAGTTTGCAATCAATTAAAACTATCAGCCGATAAATGAAAAGGTGGCTTAAACTGACGTTCACGTATTCTGCCAACTCTTCGATATATATATATATATATCATTTTGTCGTTGCGGCCTTTAAGTTAGATATTGGGGCAAATGCAGCTTGTTTCTGCGTCCGGCATGACCCTTTGGTACCCAACGAGAATTTTTCTCAGTCCATATTCAGAGTTGCTGCTCCGGGGGAATAACCTTCTCCGGCTCCTCATTGGCCACGAAGGCGCCGTAAATCCAAGGAACCCGGGATTCGCCTTTGGTTGTCAGGAGTATTTTGATGTTATGTTCTACTTGGGAATGTGAACTCCCACATGCGAGAAAAGAAACCGCACTCAGAGATGTAGTCAAGTGGCCGATCTCTCCACGACTGTAACAACTTTTGCGTCTGATATTATCAATTTTCTGGGTCCTGGAAGTCTATCTGCCAACCTGATAGTTCCCGCTACAGTAAGCTCCTCTTTTCTAATAGAAAACGAAGAAACCTCAAATTTATTATGCAGCTAGTGGCGGCAAGTAACAGAATACTAAGAAGACAATTTCGAGCGATAAGCGGTCTATGTCCCAGGGGGAATGTTTTCCAGTCTATCAACTCCTCATTCCCCAATGTGGCTCGCAGCATCAAAAACGAACTGTTCTTCTGCAGTCCTTTTCGTCTTTCTTTAGGCGGCTTAGGCAAATGAATTTACAGAAAATGCGTTTGAAAAGATTACTGAATAAATGGCTAGAATTTTGGAGACGTAGAAGTTTCTTCTCCTCTCTTTTCTCCTACTAATCCGTTTCGTCTAGCGCCTATTCATCTCCATCTTCTGCCCATTCCCATCCCTGTCTTTTCTTTTCATTTGTGAATTGGGCTAATTCATATCAACTGGATGCTGATTGCGAAAAAGTGGCCACAATCACTGGAACACGAATTTTATTAGCCTGACGTTTCGAATTCCTGCTCGAACCCATCATCAGACGAAGCATCAGATAGGGTTAATTCGTACAAAAAGACTTGCAGCATTTATAGGGTACAGTCATTGTGCTACTGCACACATTAACGGCTCCCTCTTATCGAAGATGGCTGTTGTCCTCTGATGTTCAAAGTCCGGCGTACGGGTCGTGGCTTGCTGCTGGACGCTCGTTGACGAACGTTCACGCGACCGCCAAAGCAACTCAT